AAACTGTTGGGGCGAAAGAAATGCCTCTTTGCCACCAACGGTTTGAACGGAACAAAAAAAGGCAGGGGAATTTTGAATTTCCTGCCCTTTTCCCCTGCTCTTTTTCACTTGTAGGTTGAGGCTCCGTTCGCAAGTCAAAGTAGAATTTTTCGAACGGAGCCATTCATAAGTCGAATCGTTTGCAGGTAGGGATGTTCTTAAGTCAAGGTCCCACTCTATCTGATCTCTAGGAGAGTCCAACATGCATAACCATACAATCCTATACTTGATGAGTTAATGAAGGTGATGGTGGGTATGAAGGTTAATTTTCCAATGGATACAGAAACATAGATAAATTTGCTCTTAAGTCTACAATGAAGTCTTACAGATGAAGGTATATTTTGTGTGCACGACACTGCCATCTCCTGGTCACTGCATCACAGTGCTCTTCACTGCAGCTGTATTCCATTCCAGCCTTCGTTCTTCGGCATTTCTGGCAAAAAAACAAACAAACCACCAAAAAAAGGGAGGGGGGATAAACGAGAGTGGGGAAGGGAAAATATTTGGCTCTTTAAATAGATATATTTCAGTATTAGCTTTTATGGCTCATAATCCACTTCTTCAGACACAGAGTAGAAATATCTTTTCTCAGTATTTATTGCCATGGTGGTCAGAGTCATGTCCAAGTGAGAGTAAGATAACAAAGGGACAGTGTTTCATTTACACAGGAATAGGACTATCAAGCAGTTAATTAGCGGATCCTAGCTACAGTATTTTTGCCTTCTCTCAGGTATTTCCCCTTTTTTACTTTTGCCAAATTGTTGAGGCAGACTAAAATGGCGACTTGTTTGGAAACTGATATTTTCATATTCCCTTCCAGTCCTCACTCTTTCACTGATGTGTCTGACTCTAGATAAATAAAAAATAATCAACAAGCTGTAACATCAGGCCTATCCTACTGCCAATCTATGGCACATTAGAATTCTCAAAGAGTCAGAAAATATCACAGAATTCATTCAGTGCCAAGTTGTTATTATTCTTTATACTGGTGGATGAAGGTTAAAGCCAAAATAAACAAATTGGGACATTGGACAGTCTGTTTTTTCAGCCAGTTAAATCCAATGGAACAGGCAGTTTCAATAGCCAGACTTCTCTTTTGGGATTAAGTTCCACTGAATGTTCTGAATAAACAAGCTTAGGATTTCATTGCAAATGGCTTGTACAACACAGCCTATATTAAATTGGCAAGACTCTGTCTTTAGAAAAACGTTGGTATGAATATGTATGTTCCTTATTAGCAACCCAGTGCTGGCCTCAGAGAGAAACTGACAAGGACTGAGTTTCATGCTATGAGGAGATTAAAGAATTATGAGGGGGAAAATCACACCTGTCCTCATTTGAACTATGGATTTAACTGTGAATCCATATTTAAATTTAAGCAAAATGTTATTCATTTAGTCAACAAATTTTAAAGCCTCAATAAGAATACATTTCAGAGTGGTGTATGCAATATTTGTTTATTACACCTCTAAACTATCCACTCTAAACAATTCAGAGACAATGGATAATGTCAGTGAAAATGTCAGGACCAATGAATATCACAGTTGAGAAAAAAAAGATATACAATCAATCAAAAATATAGTAGGACACCTGTTCCAGAGTTTTGAATTTCTGATAAAAATTTCTTTTCGCTACGCTACTCGGTAGAAGTACAGAGATATACAGAAGAGAATAGCTACAAGTTCCCCAGAGTGAACCCCTTTCCCATTAACTGGGACTTAAAGTCTCAATAACTCCGAGTCACTTGTAGAAGGAAGAATAAAACACTCCTTATTTACAGTTGCTTGAAATTACAAACTTGTATATATTGCGTGTGTATACTACACCATTCCACCGCTGCTGCGGGCTCCGTACTCCCTTCCTATCACTCCGGAGCTCGCAGCCGACTAGGCACTCTTCGACCTGGCAGAGAGGCTCGTCATCGTGGCTTCTGCTAGGAGTGGCTAATCCACCATGAGCTCCAGAGTGATAAGAAGGGAGTGCAGAGCCCGCGGCAGCAGCAGAATGGTGAGTAGTTGAGTAGTGCGTGGGGGGATATTCATATACAAATACCTCCATCTCTAATGATCACCTAGCTAAGAAAAGCACCTCCTAGTTACTCAAACCACAGACAGCATGCAAGATTGTAAATAAAACGGCAACAATCCCAATAACCACAGGATCGGTATCTGTGGCTTCGGTTACCTGTGGTTTACTGCAGCCCTGTATACAACATAAAAGGGAATGGGCCTTGTGGTTTTTGTCCCACCTCTTTGTATGTTGTATATAGGGCTTGCTGTTATCTGCAGTTTCAGGCATTTGCAGTATATCCTAGAGTGACTCTCCAGCAGATACAGAGGTCCTTCAGTACTGTACTTTTAAATGCTCTGACTTTAGCACTGAGTTGGAGTATTTTTTTTCTTCTTTGTTTGCTGTGATGTTTGTTTCCCCTTTCCTGATAAATAGATCTTGTGGGCTTTCTACAAATTTTTGGATCCATTTGATAGTTTAATAGTGGTATTACTAATAGGATTTTCTCTTGCTCCCAGCACAAGTACTATATATATCCAATAATAGACTGAGAAATAAGAAATATATGTATCTCACAACAGAGTGCTAACTTATGGGCTTTTTTACCTTACAGCAATGACTAAGCTATTTAGATACAGGAAAAACGTTCTGTGATTGTGCATGAATTCAATCAATGCAGCACTTACGTGCATGCAATTTATACCCCACCGCATGTACCAAAAAAGGTCTAGCAAATGGCCAAGATAGCGTTGTTAAAGTAGCCCACTTCTGTTAAAAAACAAAATCAGTCAAACATTTCTTTTTATTACCTGTATTTCATATACAATTGTGCAATGCTTTGATACAAATAAAGATTTCAAAGTTCTAGCTAATCTGCATTGGCTTCCTGTGCTTCTCTGAGCCAAATTTAAGGTGCTAGCACTTAGGTACAAAGCCACATTGCCTGTCAAAATGCCTCCCCATTAAGAACTTCTGCTTATCCCAACTGGTCTTCTCAAGCCTTGTTATTGTGGCTGAATACCCCTAGGGACTCAGGTGGTTGTTACTAGAAATCAAGCCTTCTCAGCTATGGCCCCATCCTTATGGAACAGACCCCTCTGGAGATCTGTTTGGCCCTTTCTTTGATGGCATTTAAAGGTTGCTGAAGACTGTGCTTTTTAGGGAAGCATTCTTCCTTGATGTAATACAGTAGCGGGATTTGGTTTTACTCTGTTTTACCACCATCACCCTTGTTTGGGAGTAGTTTTAGGTTTCTCCTTACAGTATTTAACTTTTAGTTTGCCTGCTTGGGTTGTTGGGAACTGGGGGAGGGATGTGTTTGCTTTGATTGCTGTTAACTGCCCTGAATAGTGCATAGCAAACATCATAAATAAGATTAACTGTGTGTGATTTTGTGGATCAAAATCTACTTCTCCAAATGGTTAACATAAAAAGTGGTAGTGGTTTGTTTATAGGACAGAGGTCAGAGTGAATAAAATGACACAACCATTGTATACCAAGAAGATGTTACAGAAAGCTGGGTTATGAATAGGTATAGTGTGCTAAGCAATCTTGATCTCTTTCGAAGCCCTCAGAAATGCAATGCAACTTACTTATTCAGCTAGTTTCTGCTGTTCCCCTCTAGAGCCTGTCCTTTCAACTTCTCTTTTCTACAGTAGCCATAGCACCTATGATAAATAACTTTTAGCATTCCTATGACAGACAAGTCTGTGCGATATACAGTTTGTCACCCTGACTAGGGTATAACTGACAGAGTGACAGTCCCATATCCATGTTAATAAACCGCTGCCATTTTGTCTACTATCTGTATCCTCACTTGGTAATTAACCTAAATTCTATGGGAATAAATACTGGGCAAATATTTGCAATTCCTGTATCTGAAGAAGTAGATGAAATAAACCTTATTCTTTAAAGGGGAACAATAGTTTGCTTTTTGTTTTTTTATTTCTACCCTTCGCTTCTGCATACATGATTACATCATAATAATAACCATGTGCTTTCAAGTGAATTCTGACTTATGGGGACCCTTTTCAGGGTTTTCCAAGCAGATAGTATCCAGAAGTGGTTTACCTTTCCCTTCTTCTGGGGGCACCCTAGGATTGCCCAAGGCCACACAAACTGGCTTTTCTCCTGGGAGGCACAGTAGGGAATCCCAACCTCTCGCTCCAGAGCCAGACACCTAAACCACTGAGCTATCCAGCCAGCATGATTAGATTAAATGGTTTTTAAACAGGGTTATTGGATAAATTCATGGTTTGTAAATTTATCTGGGGATTCCCAGTGTGGTGTAATGGATAGAATGACAGACTAGGACTCTGGAGAAAAAGGTTCAAATCCCCACTGGGCCATGGAAACTGCCTTGGGGAGTGGAGCTGGTAAAACCACTACTTAAATACAGTATTCCCATTACCTTGAAAGTCCTGTTAGGGTTGCTATTAAGTTGGTTCAGACTTGATGGCCCAGAAAAAACAACAACAGACTTATCAATAACTAATTCCTATATGAAATCTCCCTAGCTTCATAGCTCTGACTACAACATAATTTTGTCAGAAGAAAGAGAATATAGTGACCGTTATCATATTCTTTCAATCTAGTGTTCAAACTCCTAGAAAAGCATCTATGCCTTTATCCATTCTACCCTCCTCCTATTCTAGGTTGGCTCCTATTTCCTGGACGCATGAGCAGAAGTCCTTCTCCACACCCAGAATATTTATCTTCTTTACTGACAGCAAATCTACAGCCCCCCCCTTTTCCCCCCGCTCTCTACTTGGCACAGGTGACACACTCACCTGGCTTCCCTGCAGCTGCATCAACTCAGCTACTTCCCAGTGTTTCTGGCAAAAAAAGGATGATGGGCGGACCTATGGAGGGGAAGCGGCTCGTTTGAGAGTGACGATTCTCCAATAGTAGCTCGAATAAAGGAAAGGGGGTGGAGTTTTGGGCGGAAATAAAGCCCAAGGTGGCAGTGAGTAGGGGGAGACCGTTTCTTGAAATTACCTGAGAAGGAGGGGGAAAGGAAAGCGGGCGTCGGTCGTTGTGGGAGACCGGAAGTAGTTGCCGAGGGCGACGATGGCGGGAGTCTTGACGCCGGGAGGGCGGCCGCAGCAGCAGTTGCTGGAGCAGGATAATGTGAGTTGCTAGGGTTTTCGTGCATTCAGGAAGCCTAGGAGCTCGGCTCTGTGGGAACAGTTTGGAAAAAGGACGGGGGACTAAATTTGCGAAACATGACTAGCAAGGCGGTTGGTTTAAGCTGTGATTCCCCCCCCCCCAGGGTTCCTTAGTGCTTTTATATGCTGTATATATCTACGCCCGATACTGGGAATGATGCTTTATGCGTTTACTAGAGTAGGGTGCTGCAAGACGTTCCTATTATTGCAGTGAATTAAAGCTGAAGGTGCTGCAGCAGAGGATCTTTGAGGTTTTCAGGGAGAACGCGTAGTTGTAGGAGCGAGAGGGGTGTGTGTTCTTGGTCATATGATGTGCGCTGTCTTTTTTTTAATCTCTTGAGCAGTGTAGTTTCTGTTCTAGAAATGGGAAAGGAGAGCCCCAGAGGGGTGCATGTGATTTATTTTATTTTATTTTTAGCAATGCAAAATAGGTTGTTCAGGAAGGGTTTGGGTTCCCTCACTTCATTGGTCTTTTATTTTAGGGATGGTAAAAGTTTAGCCTGACACATTGAGGAAGCTGCCATGTGAGAATTCAGTGCATGATTTAGCTCTTGCCAGTCCTTTATTTCCTAGGGTGAAGGTTGAGTGTTAAGGTTTCCTTCAGAGTTTGTTCCCACCCTTCCTCCTCAGATGTAAAAGCCTTGCTACTTGTCAGCTATGTGGAAGCTATTTGTTCAAAACGTAAGAGAAAGGCTTCTTCTAATTTGAAAAAGCTGTAGTGGCTAGGGAAATGACCCAACTTATTTGCAGCAGTTTCCTTTTCAAACTAATCAGCAGTGAGTCTGCTAAAAGCAATATGTGGTATTTAGTCCCTGCTAATGTTGGCTGCGTGGATTAAATGCACTTACAGTATGTAGTCCCAATTGCATGAGGTATTTTGAATTAATACAATGTTGGTAAGTGAAAGTTTCATTTTGATTTACCAAGACTATTTTGGTTGTGGCTAACAAACGGCATTTAGTCCCCTCGGATGTAATCACCAGGACTGAGGTGGGACCAAGAGCAGCTGTTTTCTACCTTTAAATTGTTCCTTTACTGTATTTTGAAGCTCTCAAAGACACCAAAGGGGGTCCCTAAACCTTAGGCCAGGAGGAGACCAGAAAGCTTTTAATTACCCCAAAACACATGCAACATGGCTGTGACTCATAATGTCATCAGTTACTTGGCATCATTTATACCAAGTAGATTCTGCCCCATATGTGTAAAGTATCTACCATTACTATAGTCTTGTATATCATATGATAGACAATAGTAACTTGTGGTAGTAGAGATAAAAGTTATAATGGCATTGGATGAGTTTAACTGAGTATATAGTCCATTTTATTCCAAAAAGCATAATCCCAGAGTTTAATAGTCTTTTTGTACTAAATGTTAACTAATTAAGTAATCAGAACACCCTTCAAAGTGTGGTTATTTATGGGATTTTGTGTACAATACAAAGAGCCTGTTCTACAGAAATTTACAGTGTTTTCTGTGCATATCCAGTAGGGTTTAATTCCTAGTATACCTGTGCAGGATTGCATTCTTACCAAGCTTTTTTAAAAGTAGAGCTTCCATGCTTTGGGATCAATTTACTTTAATGTGATTGAGTTAATCAAAATGAGATGCCTGTCTTGGTTCTGTCTTGATTCCTGCAGAGGAAGTGAGTTAATCAGTAGCTAAATGTGATGGAAACCAGAAACAATTTACAGTGCTACACACAGATATATTTGTAATGTTTGTGAGCAAAACAAGACACAAGCTTCATATGCCCAAGCAAACATTAGATGCATAATGCCAACTACTTTTTGGATATCAGGGACCTGTCTGTTGTGCCGATAGCTTTGTCATGTTAGTAGGAGGGAACCACCAACATTACTGTTTTTATATAATATTCGTGCTAACACAGCCTTCCCAACCTGATGCTATCCTGCCAATTAGGGCTATGGCTTAAAATGGTATGGTCAATGGTTGATGATAAGTGTTTTGAAAGCATCATTCCTTTTACCCCAGTTAAGTTAGTGGGAACTTTTATGTTGTGTCATGAACTTTGAACAGAAAAAAGGTAATCAGGATGTGAAGTGTTTGCTCATCTATATAGAGGAATATGGAGATTTATTCAGTAGTGTGTGTAATATGCTGATAAGTTGCATCACACTTACAGTGACCTTAATAGGGTTTTCAAGGTATGTGAACTTTTTAAGGTCTGGTTTTACAAGTGTCCCCTCCCCCTATGAGTTTCCATAACAGAGCAAAGAATTGAATCCAGGTCTCCTGGCCCTAATCTGTCACTCTTATCTGTTATCCACTCCCTACTGTCTTTTGAAGTAGGGCTTACAAAAGGAATTGCTGTATGAACCAGAGGACTAATAAGTTAATAGTTTTGTTCTCTAGGGCAGAGGTCCCCAACCTCCGGTCCGTGGCCCAGTGGTGGTCCATGGCCTGAGCTGAACCGGGCCGTGGAAACAGACTTCCTACCCCTCTGCGCACGCATTCACTCCCACACAGCTGATTTGCGCATGCTGTGCACGCCCGTGTGAGCTCCACGCTGCTGTTTGCACATTTGCACAAGCGTAATGCACCCGTGTGAATGCCGCACCGCTATTTGTGCATGCGTACGAGTGAGCATGCATAAGCACTGTGCCACCGTTTGTGCGTGTACACGTGCTCATTCACATTCACTCATTTGCAAATGCCCACAAGCTTGGGGGATGCTCCACCTTCCGCAGCTGGTTCATGGGGTGAAAAAGGTTGGAGACCATTTATCCATAGGGAATTGGTTTTATGATCCAAATAGGTTTGGCTCCTGTGCAAAATCAGTGCAGGAAGCAACTGTTGTTTTGTGCAGGAAGCAACTGTTGGTTTTGGATGCTATTGTATGGGGACTGCTTCGTGAAACCTTCTGGAGGTCTCTTGACTGTTGGACCGGACCTTGATGGAAGTCATTCATGACCATTGTTGTTGAAGAATGCATAGCATGGTCTCTGGGTCCCTCAGCTGACCAGTTCTGGTGATGCAGGTGAAAAAACATATTCTTGGATTTGATTTGGTTTTTTGACCATGCTGGGTATAATGTTCACGATTATCCAGGGTTTTCAGCATCTGCGAGGGGGGCTTATAACCATTCCCCTGCAGATACAGGGGTCCTACTGTGCTTTCTGATCCAGAATCTTTACTTCTATAGTGTGTTATGCATACCCATACAAATTGCTTCCTTGCCAAAATTCTGATATCAAGTCACAGCCAGCTGAACTCACACACCTACTCACACTAGGAGAATACACTATAAGGAGCTGAAATTCCCAAAGCCTCCCAATATAATACTATAGGCATATTCAGAGTTAACACCTCTGGAGTCAAATATTAATGATGTTGTAATCCCTGTCACCACAAAAGATGATGCACGTGATTGTGGAATTCATAGAATCATAAAATAATTGAGATGAAAGGAGTGTATAAGGCCATGGGGTCCAACCCCCTGCTCAATGATGTAATCCAAATCAAAGCAGATCTGACACACAGTTGTTCAATTTTCTCTTGAATGCCTCACCACCTGTCAAGGTAATTGTTGTAGTGCTCTAACAGTTAAGAGATGTTTCTTTATATTCAGCCTAAATCCGGCTTCCTATGGTTTGAGCCTATGTTACATGGTTCGGCACTCTGGGATGATCAAGAACAGATCATGCCTCTCCTCTGCATGACTGATTTTCAAGTATTTGAAAAGTTCTACCACATCTCCCCTCTCTCCCCTTTTCTTGAGGCTAAGCATGTTCAACTTCTTCAGTATTTCCTCACAGGGCTTCATTTCCAGTCCCCTGAACATCCTCAGGGGAGGAGAAACCACCATCCTGGACATGACTACAACAGAACTCTTAAAAAGGTTGAAAGAGAGAAAACGCCTAGCATTGTGAGAGAAGAGTGAAAGTCTGAATTAGCCCCAGAATAGACCTGCAAGGGAAAAAACGGGGTGGGAGAGAAAAGAAACAGAAGAGAATGGAGAATTGTTGGGCATTCTAGCAGAGGAAAAAAAGAATCATGACAGCTGAGTGGAGAGGAAGACTGGG